CCGTGTAGCGTTAGGGCACGGGGAGATAACTTGGAACTGCAAGAGGGTAGATACAGATTAGATACTAGTAATAAATTCTTTACCGTGAGAGTGGTGAGGCACTGGAACAAGTTGTCCAGAGAAGTTGTGGCTGCTCCATCCCTGGCAGTGTTCAAGGCCAGGCTGGATGAGTCTCTGAGTCTAGTGGGAGGTGTTGCTGCCCATGGCAATGGGGTTGGGACTGGATGATCTTTGAGGTGCCTTCCAACCCAAACCATTCTGTGATAATCAGTGGATTCAGAAGGCAGTGTTTTTAGAGCTTTTATCCATTGTCATGTCTTGTTGGAACTTTTTCTTCATTTGCTTAGTCTATTATGTAAAAATCAGATGCTTCTGTTAGCTGTTTTCTCAGAGTTCGGAAAAAAAGATAGGTGCACAAGCCTTTGAAGTGCACTAAGTCAACATGTCTATTTCTGATAGAACTATTAATCTCTTTTCCTTTAGCTGAAGTATTTTACTTTATTTTTCAGGCTGTGGCTTCCCTGCCCGAAGATATAAGACCTGGCCCTGATCTGTATGGTTTCCCATGGGAAATAGTGATTTGTGCTGGCATCGTTGGAGCCTTTACAATTCTCTTGTTCCTGTACAGAAGTTATCAAGCAGTAAGTGTTATGATTTAACCCCAGCTGATAACTAAGCACCACACAGCCACTCTCACTGCCCCAAGCTCTGGGCTGAGGGAGAGAGACAGAAGAGTAAATGTGAGAGAACTTGCGGGTTGGCATAAAGGTAGTTTAATAATGAAAGCAAAGGCCACTCATAAGCAAAGCAAAACAAGGAATTAATTCACTGCTTCCCATGGGTAGGAGGTCTTCAGCCATCTCCAGGAGAGCAGGGCCCCATCACATGTAACTGTTACTTGGGAAGACAAACACTACAACACTGCACATCCCCTCTTTCTTTTTCTTCCCTCTGCTTTATATGCTGAGCATGACACCATATGGTTTGGGATATCCCTCTGGTCAGTTGGGATCAGCTGTCCTGGCTGTGTGCCCTCCCAGCTCCTTGTGCACTCCCAACACCCTCACTGTTGGGGTGGTGTGAGAAGGGAAAAGGCCTTGACTGTGTGCAAGCTCTGCTCAGCAATATCTGAAACATCCCTGTGCTATCAGCTCTTCAGCACAAATGCAAAACACAGCCCCATACCAGGTGCTATGAAGATAATTAACTTCTCTCAGACAAAATCAGCACAGTAAGTGTTCAAGTTACATGCAGATAAGTGGAGTGCACTAATAGTTTGCATTGAAGTTGTTACCCTGTTCAAGATACATAATGCTTCAGAGTTTTACATCTGTTGTGATTGAATTTAGAATCCCTCTAAAAGAGAAATTGAAAAGTAATCTGTTTTGTCAAGACAGGAAGTGTTTGGACATGTACTGACTGACTGTTATAAGAGGAATGCAATGAAACTGGCTGTAGTAAGGCTTCCTTTTTCATTTTCTTTTTATTTTCTGCACCAGGCTTTGACAGGATATAGGAGGTCTTCCCTAGGGTGTAGGTAGTGCTGTGTGTATTGGTATCACTGTGACTGCTCTGGCTGTAGCCAAACCAGCTCAGGTCTTTCAAGGTAATTTGAAGCAAAAGCAGTCCAAATGATTTCCCGTCAAGGGAGGCATTTTAAAACTCTTTGGACAGTGGCCTTGGTTCTGTTTACTGGAACATTGGAACACTGAACCAATTTTACTGTGTGCCATTTGTGAGCGCTAATCTGATGACTTTGAGAATTGCAGTGCTGAAACCTTTTAATGCACATGTCAAGCTATATTTTCAAGGTAATGGTTGTCTTCTGTTGTGAGTAAGTAAGAGTCTGAGTACTAACAGCTGGCTACCATACTTTCCCAACTAAGGAGTGGGATTAGCATCCATCATTTGGTATTCTAAATTTGTCCCCAGTCTTTGCATACTCTTAAATAGACTGAATGTGATTTTTGGTGCTAGGTGTAATGATGCTGATGTTTGCAGATAGGTTGTATAGCTCTTTACTTTTTCAGATATGACCAACTGCGTTTTTAGGGTGTCAACATCAACTAACAGATTGTCTGTGAGGGTGTCTGTACTTCTATAAGTTAATGTAACTATGATTTGGGTCATACCTTCTGTGTTCTGGCAGCATCCCTCAAGGTGCTACAAAAGGCATTTCAACTGAAATCACAGCAACTCTGGTATTGTTTTCTCCTGCACATGTCACTAAGGCATTAGATACTACAGAAGTTTTTGACAGCATTTTCAGTCATCCATACTTAGGACTGCAGTGACTGCTCTTTGAAGAATTGATGGTTACTTAAAAGTAACGAGGTTTAGTTTTGGGAATGATAGGAAAAAGTGTCCTTATGACGTTTCTCCCCTTTTTCTGTTACTTGGGCTCCTTGGCCTTCCCATGGCTTTAAATGAGGGGGAAACAGGGAAGATCTGAGGGAGCTGTTGGTACATTAGACACATGATCCAGGCCCAGCCTTGAGAGGAATTCTGTGTTGTGAAGTTTTTGTGGGTTCAGCCAAGTAATGCATCTCTCGCCCAGGCTGCTTGACAGATTTTGTCCCACAGTTAGCTTTGGATTCTAGGGCACTAGACCTTACGTGGCAGCTGCTGATTTGGCACTTCCCACGGTGCTGCATCTGGGCAGGATGCCCATCAGGTAGTACCTTACTGCAGCTCTAACTGCTATGTGGTGTAATGTGTGTGGGGTTTTTTCCTCATAGGAGGTCCAAGGTGGTGTGTGGAGCTTCCCCCTCCTCTCCCTTCCCTTTCCTATTCTTTTGACTGTCCACTACCACTTTCTGTTGGCGGTCATGGTTATGTGATGACTATACGGAGTTCTGTTATTAGAGTAATCCAGGTGATAACTAACCTCCTTGCCCCTCTTTTCTTTGATCAGAGTGGGAGAAAGACAGGGCAGACACACAGACATAGGGTAAGAGCAGAGGATACAATTGCCTATATTTAATAGCAGCCTGTGTTTATATTCTTTTTTTTAAGTTGCATGGTTAGACGGATTGAGTTAAAAGATTAGTTTTCAGGTACTATGCAAGAGTAATTGATCAGACTTTTTTTTTGTTTTGTTTCAGGTTAGAAGTCGACTTTATGTAGGTAAGTTTATTTTTCATACTATTTCTTTGGAGTATGACTTATTCTGTCTTCCCATCCCCCCCCTTTAATTATTTGTATGTTGCAACACTTAAGTGCCTTTCTCCTTTTAGGAAGGGAAAAACAGCTTGCCAGTAAAATTGCTGAACTAGTTGAAGAAAAATGCAAAATTCTTGAAAAACTCAGCCTTTGCAAAAAAGAGGTAATGGTCCTCATTTATTGCTTTTCCATGTGTCACAGAAATGGACTCAATCAAGTAAAGTAATAAAATTTTCTAAAACGAAACTGAATTTCTCTAGAGGTTTTGAAACATTTAAAGGGATTCTTCAAATGCTTTTATCTGTCAATGCCTATAAGAACATTTAAGGCATTAGCAAGTTTCACCTTTAACTCTCAATGCAGTATATTTCACTGGAAGCAACTTCAAGATGTGTTTGTTTGGTTTATGTCACTGGGATAATCTGGTAGGACTAGGGTTTTCCCGGTTTCCAGCGAGGTGCATTTGTGAATATTTAGGTGGTGGCTATGTTTCAGGCTAAAACATCATCAATTAATGCTGCTATTAAATCAATTCTTTACATGCATTCTGACATAAAGTGATTCCTTTTCAGTTTGAAGGTTTAGAATTGTCTCTGAAGGATGGTAACACTTTGAAAGAATCAACAGACGCATCTTGTTTTGAGGTAAAAAGATAAATGGAAATTGTTATTTCTAAAATTTAAGGCAGTATTTCAGAAAAATGCTGCCCATATTGAAAAATCCCCAACAAATAAAAACAGCAACAAAAAGAAACCCTGGACAAAACCCCAACTTGTTTTAATTGGATTACTGAAAGTGACATAGAATCAAAACATTTAAATTAAGGTAAGTTTTTGCTAACAGTTGCATTAAAAATGATTGATACTAGAGCAAATGGCATATTGGACAATATTTAACTTTGGAAAAGTAAATTGTTCTTAATTCTGGGAGAGAGAATAATGCATGAAGTATTTTTTTCTCTCATCTGATTTAACTCAAATGCATTTTATAGACTACTGGAGCATAGTTGTAAAGAAGAATTACCACTACATTGTTTATGTCCCCCAAGCTGACAATATCTTTGTAAGAGTTCTGAAGAAGTGAATCAAATATCTTAAGAGGCTCTGTAAAATTCATGAAACAACAAAGCAAATAGATTTCTTTCATTCCACACCTCAGATTCTGTAGAGCTAATTCTGAATGGTTGTGTTAACATGCAAGAGTCTCTGGAGTACTCTGATGTGGTGAAATTTGTGAAATGTACTTTGCTGTCATATTTAAAACATGCTTCTTGTCATATGCCATCGATGTAAAATGTTTTGTTGATTGTCAAAACAACTTGATTTAGGAAATGCATGAAAGGCTGAACAAGTCAAACTCGGAACTCAACCAGGAAATAGAAAATCTAGAAAAAGAACTGGAAGAAGAAAAATCTAAGCAATCAGAAAATGATACCTTGGTAAGAATAAGTAGAATTCTGTCTTTGTTACTGTTCATTTAAGAAAAAATTCCCCAAAGAAGAAAAATCTCAGTGGAGAAGACAAGCTGTTCTCTTTGTGTGTTTTGAAATAGAAACTACATTTTCCATTTTGTCTCCCCTCATACTCCTGGTAACATTAGAAAAATTAGACTCATAAAGGAGAATACTCAAAAGAAGAAAAACTGTTTTTACTGATTTGGCAGTAGAACCTTCTCAGTCTCAAAATAATTTTATTAATTGCTCAGACCTTTCCAGTCAAATGTGTGGAAGAAGCTATATGATAACTAATAATTTTCAGGTGGCTGAAATTCAGGAGAAATTGGAATCTGCGCGGAATGAAGAAAAATCTATCCAGTCACAAATTGATGAGGTATGTCTGATCTTTAGAGTTTCAAACCTTTGCAATTTCTCTAGTCTCCATGTAGTTATTGTTTTAATTTCTTTTCCTGTTAAAGGTGCAGAAATAATACACTGTGCAAACCAAAAGACTTTGTAAGGCTTAGTAGTTTTGTGTGACTTGACTGAGCAAATTTTAATTTCAGGTAGTGATTGGCATTTATTGAGACGTAGTTACTTTGTCTCTTCTCTGCCTTCTTATTCCACAGTGACATATTTAGTGTTACAAAGCTACAATCAGCAAAAACTGTTGAAATTGTAGAGAAAATGTGAAAATACATATATAGCGCAGATAGAAAACCTAAGAATAAGTCCAGTAGTACCTTCATGACCCCATTTATATCTTCACCTGTACTGCTTAAATAACATACTTTTTTATTTCATTTAGGCCAAGTCCACCCTAAAAGTATATCAGATTAATACAGAGAGACTCAAGACATCTGTTCAAGATGCAGTGGATGAAAACAGCCATCTCCAGGAAAGTGAGAAACAGGTAGGTTCTTCTAGTTGCCCTTAGAAATAGTAATACTGTAGTTTCTTACAGTACTACAAAAATGTGATTTCTCCAAGGAGCTCATCCTCGACAAGTCTGTTAATACACATTGTGTGTTCCAGTAAATGGAAAAAGGAAGAGGGCATGGTTTAAAATTTCTTTTTAATGTTGGAATAACTTTGTCTAAAATAGCCCTGTTTTAAAAGAAATTTAATAATTGGAGTTTGTGGAGAAACAAGCACAGAGTTCAGTGGGAAGAGAGCATGTGGTGATGTAAGCCTAATAAGCATTTGACTGAGAACTGAGGGAGGAGAGCAGAAATATTTAAGCAAGTCCACAGCTAGCATCCTCTACAGAGGCAGAGGGAAAATTCTTACACTTGATCCAGAAAACAAAAGAAATTGAGAAATTTTAGAGTATGCAAGAGGAGATAAAAAACTTTCGGTGGTACTAGATGTATTAATGGAAGGTCAGGTAAGTAATACAAAGGAACAGAAAAGACTGTTACTTCCCAAATTTTAGCTGTTTATTTTCCTCAGTGCTGTTACCAGATCCCAAAGAATACTGATTATTTCAAAATGTTCAGCATATGCAACAGTTGTCTTGTGCAATAGGTAGTTTTACAATGAAGTTATTATTTTTTTCTAACAAATAGATTTTTTTTTTTGAACATTTAATGTTCTGTGGAATGTTCTTGGCTTTTGGGGTGGTTCGTTGGGCTTTTAATAGATATGTGCTTAGTTTCCTGCCTGACTGTCTGAGGAGTAACCTGATAACGACCTTGCAGGGGGGAAGGAGTAGTGGTGGGAGTAGAAGTACAGGCCTGTGCTGTTTAGCAGTCTTAAAAAAGCTGGGGAGTGCTTTAGTCCTCCCTATCAAAACACTGCTTGTTTCAAACTTAGTGATTCAGGAAAAAAAGTTACTGGAAGTAGAAAACTTTCTGCAGGAGGAATATTTCAGTTCTGCAGACTCTGTTGCCAGTAAATCTTCAGCTTTTTCTCTAATTCTATAAGGAGTACGTGTTTGTGACTACTGAAAAAAAGGAAGTCAGTTTTATTAGGTGCCGTGAGTGGAGGAACAGTAGATTTGGGTGTTGTGGTGTTATCCCTGTGCAATGAAGTTGCTTGAGAATTATTTTTTTTCAAGGGTCTTTTTGTCTAGTCTTTTTTGTCATCCTCTTTGTTTCTCTGAGGAGGAAGGGTCTGGTCTCTGTGCTTTATTTCAAATGTGACAATGTTCTTATGTAGTGAATGTTGAGAAGCAATACTCAAAGTTTTAATAGAGAGGGATTTTCTTTTTTCTTTTTCCCCCTCCAGTAATTTCTTGGGTTCAAACAGAAATAATCCAATTATTTGTGCGTGTAACAAAAATCTTCTCATTCTTTCCTTTTATTAAAAAATAATACTTAGAGAAATAATACTAAGTGCTGACAATTACCCCACATTTCATAGGCAATAATTTTGTATCAAGTAACACTGGGGGGGGGGGAAAATCAGTAAAAGCAACTCCCAAGGATATAATTTCCATGTTCCTAGATGAATTTTTTTTTGCACTCCTTCCAGGCAAAACAACTTGGGTATAGTAGTTCCTTAACCACGTTATTTAGGAATAATTACGACACTTTGTTGTTAACTGAGCTTTGTTGCAGATTTTAGTAGTTGGAGAATGCTTGTGCATATTGTAGTTTGCTGTGCTTTTTAGTGGATAAATAACCTGATAAAAGTTGATGGAACCTGATAAGCAAAGAAGAGAAGGTATTTGCTTTGCTTATTTGTGTTCTTGTTTCTGAGGTGGTTGTAAGTGTTTGAGTTAGTTTGCTATATTAGAATATCCACATCCCTTTTTTATTTTTCTTATTTGTTTTTTAAGATGGAATTTTACTTATGCTTAAAAGGTAACAAAGGTGTTATTTGTTCACAGAAACTAGAGTGCTTTCTACCTCTGTCCATTTACACTAATGGGTCATAATCTTCTGGCACATCATACCTTAAACAATCTAACAGATGTGCTATTTCAGGTTTATGATGTGTCAGAGAGAGGATTGGGCCTTTTAGTTTGAACAAGGGAACTGGTAATGAACTCCTGTGCTTTGTTGTTTGGCTTGGGGTTTTTAGTTCAGGAACATTAGAAATATATATTGCTTTAGCTTATTGCAAACCCATGCTCTTTCTCTTTACTATAATTCTTACAGATGTATAAAGTCATGTAAATTTATTTTATCTTTGGTTACATGAAGAAGGAATCTCTTAAAAGTCTGGCTTCCCTTTGAGGGGGAATTACAGTTAATGATAAAAGTAGTTGCCTGTGTATGCCTTCTAACCCCTAATATGTAGTTTGCTTGATGCTGCAAATTCATACGTGGCTTTTGCTGCTTAGAAAGTGCAGTTGTGTGCTGTGGGGGTTCATCCAGTTCTACTCACACACCTTTTGGTTTATGCCTTCTAGTTTATTTTGACAAGTAGTGTTCAGGTTTTCTTGTCTCTTTGCACAGCAGTTCCCCTGTTGGACTACCATTTTCTGGTTTTATTTTTAGCATAACTGGCTGTTACGTTTTCATTGCTCAACCTACTTAGTCCTTTCTGTACATTCACAGCTTTTAAACTGATTGCCTGTTGTGCAACTTTAAGCTGTGTTCTTTTGACAGACTCTAAGACTAGTTTTTGTACTTTACCCTATGTTGTTGTAGTGCATGTTTTGTCTTAACAGAAATTTGCATCAGTTCAAATTCGTTCTCACAATATTAAGACCTGGCTTAATTAGTGAATATGTTGCAGTGGTTATTTTTAATGGGCAGATGCCTAATCCCTTTACTACTGTAAAGTATTTTTGTGAAATGAGGTTTTACTAGGCAATGTCTGTGAAATGTAACCTTGGAATCTACCTGTCTTTTTAGTTAAGCACAATAAATTGCAAAGTTACATACTAGTAGGTGTTGATTACATATAGTTGCTGTGACATTCATTAACAGGGAAGCTTTTTAAAAATAAAATCTTAAAATTACTTGAGGAGGTATGGAGAAGAGCAGGAGAAATAACACAGTTTTGCAAGCCACATGAGCTTAAATAAAGCTTCCTGTTTTCTTACTTCGCTGTCCTCTTCTAAGCTGAGGAGACACAGGCACAGATGTTTCTGTGCATGTTGGGGTATGAGTGTCCTCCATCCGTTCCCCTGTGTAGGTAGCTGTTACACAAATGATCACTACTTTATATTCATTGCTGTTGTCACATCAAGGTTTTTTAACTGAGTGGAATACTGACTGAACAGTTCTTACAAATATTTAACAATATCCTAATGACTAAATACAGTGGAGAGCTATAGCAGCTAGAGGAACTGAGCAATAACACAGAAGTCTTAATTTTCATCTCTTGAGGTTTAACTGTCTTGTAGTCCTTCTCAGTTAATTTTTATTGATGGTTGAGAGGTTTAAATTCTACATATTGTATAGATAATGCTGATAACAGGCTCAGTACTGTTCATCCTTGATTCTTGGTTGTAGTACACAATCACTAACATGGAATTTCCATTTTCAGCTTTTACAAGAAGCTGAAGGATGGGGTGAACGATTCAGTGAACTGAATGAACAAACGAAGATGTTTGAATCATCTAAAGCAGATCTAGAAGACGTTTTGAAAAATAAAGAGAGTCAAATCAAGGTAAATTATGACACCTAGCATTGAATCAAATTATTCAGTCTGATGCTAATCACTGGGTTGGAAGAAAGCCTGACAACCTCTCCTTGGCTTAAGAAGCATTAAGCTGTTTTGGCTTTTTGTTTGCTTCTCTGTTCTCTAATATCTTGTTTCCTGCTAAGCAAAACAGGTTGCTTAGCAGCACAGTGGAGCACTCTGATGGCCTGGGATGCCAGCACCGCAAATAAGGAAGAACTCTTTTAATTCTGAGAGAGTATTTACTTTTTCTTTATTTTTTTTAATTTGGAGCATGGGAGTTGAGGATGTATTCTGGTATTTGTGTACCTTACTTGCACAAGCCCTGCTGAAAGCAAACATGCTTGGCTGTCTGAAAATTCTTCATGAGGACATGTCTGTGCACCTACAGATAGATGTTTTTATGGAAAAAGCAATATCAGACATCTAGAATCCTGTATATGGGGCTCACCTAAACTACTATGGGAACTAAATAAAGGACAGAAATCCTGACAAAGTAATTGTAATGGTAACTACATTTGCATTGCTCGTATTTATTTAATTGTTTGTGGGGTTTGTGGCCTTTTTCTTAGTCACTGACACAGTATATACTGAAGATGAAAGACTGGAGTTCAGCAATAAGAGAAGAGGATGATGCCGAAGACAATAACTGGGACACAGATATAAAGGGTGAAGCAGAGAATGGAGAGCACTTAGGTATGGTTTGTATAGCTTCCCAACTGAAATATTTAATAGATGTTTTAGAAATACAGAACCAGCAAACTTCCAGGAAAGTTGAAAGATTAGTGTTGTAGAAGTTGGATTTTTAAATCTCATCCGATGTTATTCATGTCAGACAGTTAACTGATGCTTGGACACCTCTGGAATAACAACCTGCCCTACTGTTTAGCAGTGTGTGGCATACATAGACCAATGTAAAGACTCGGTGTTCAGTCTCTTGCAGAATGACTTTAGCCTGTGTGAGCATTAAGCAGTGATTCTCTGGCATTTTTAGGTGGAGATCTTGCTTTCGTTTCTTCTTCAAGCTCCTCCCAGCAGTAGCACTGTGGGTCCTTAGAGCCTAATTTCTGCTTCCTTGTCCTTACACAGGTCTTACTGGTTGCAGGCAATGTGGTAGCGCTGGGATCGGCTGGGTTTAGTTGTGGGTCCCCTTAAACAGCACCACAGAAGAATCCTTCTTCCTCCTCTTTCGTGCTGCATCTTCTTTTTATACCTTAGGGCATGTCCCCACGAAGCTTACAGTGTGTATTCAACGTCTCACTTGTACCAGTATTCAGCAGTCTGAGTCGTGATTGACTGGCAAACAAAGCACCACAATATAGGCTTATCTCCTCCCCACCGTCTGCTTTCCCCCCTCCCTTTTCCCTCCAAGTGTGCTGTGCCTATCATGCTATATTGGAGATTGCTTTTGTGTAAAGACTAAACAAAGTGATAGTATTACGCTCTGTCACAAACCTTTTTGTGCTTTTTATGTGACATACTGTTCTATTCCTTCAATCAGATGATCAGCAAAAACGAACTGTGAAGAAGTTGATCTATGCAGCAAGGGTATGTGACTTTAAGCAACTTGTGGATGGAAGGGGGAAACTAGAGGGAATATGTGCAATTATTACGGTAATTTTAGTTGCATGTGCTTATCAATATCAGAGTTCAGCATCTTTTAATGTTTAATCAGATATTTTTGCATGCAAACAGTTTCTGGTAATCTTAAAATGCTCTTATTTTTTAAAAATTTTGATTGCAGTTAAATGCTTGTTTAAAGACCCTGGAAGCAGAAAGAGATCAAATGTATTCAAAACTGTCCGATGAGAATAAAGCTAAAGGAGAACTTACAGGTAATTAAATGTTGTTTCACCTTTCAAATTAATAAGGTGCTGCTTTTGCAAAATGGTGTTACAGGCTATAAATATTAGTTACAGTAAAAACTGAATTAAGTTTACCATAATAACTCTACTTGATTTTTTTAAATTCCTGTGTAAGTTCCTTAGGTGGTTTAAGTATATAATTTTAGAGGTGAAGCAATTGAAGTTGCAAATTTGTGGTACTCTTGAAATACTCTCTAAGTTATAGAATCTTACAATACATGGGCAAAGTAATGTTAGTAAATATGTACTACCACCCTTAGATAATTTCTGGACATGAAGCAATGGAGTTGTAATCTAAATTTTAAAACCATCTATTAAAAATGGTAGCTTAATTGTAATTAGTTTGTAATGGGTGCAAGCTCAGTACTTCTTAAAATCCAAAATACTACATTTAGAGAATTCAACCTAAAAGCATCTTGCTCTGGTTTTTGCTTTGTTGTGTAGGACATACTGAATTAAACCTTATGAAATCAAAACACTGACACTGTTAATTCAAATTGAAACCTGTAATTAGCTGTTGCTTTCATAACCATAGACAGCAGAGTCACTGTCGCATTTGAATGTACTGCACTTTGTTACTTGGGTGATGAAATGCTCTGTAAGTCTGTATTTTTCAGTTTCTGATAGTCCTTTAAACAGACTCTTTGTGCTTGTGTGTTTTCCAAACTGATTGTGCCTCTGTCCCATGAAGGTAGTCAAACTTTCTGAAGCTTTCTATGTTTCTTAAAAAGAGGCACAGGAGTAGTAAATAGGAAAAGAAACATGACTGAATTTAATTTGGGAAGATGAAGTAGTTGGACAAATCTGAGTTATTCCCCCAGGCTGTTCGGCCAAGACCTTGTGTGGGTGAATCTGCAAGAGAATATGATGATACCAATTCTACTTCTTTAGTCAAATAATTACGTAGTAAGAGCCCTAAATGAAAATTTATATTGTGTTGTGCAACATTAAGCAATATTCTTTTGACAGACACTAAGACTATGTTTTATACTTTACCCCATGTTGTTGTAGTGCAAAACTGCACTGTTTTAAAAGAAGTTAGAGTGTTTGGAGCCGAGGCCAGACACGGGCACAGAGCTGCTCTCTGGGGCAGGTGCAGGGTGTGGTTGCTGGTTTCCCACCGTAAGGAGCAGTACTGCTTCTCACTTTGCTCAGTGTATTGAACTCTATTAATGTATTATTTCTTGCATTATTAAATCAACATAGGATCAAAGATTTTTACAGACTTTGTATACTAAAATATTGCAAATATTTTAATGTTGTAAATTGTGTCTTACCCCAATATAATTATCTCTGAATTTGGCAGAACGCATAGAAAACTTTCAAAGTGAACAAACTTCCTTGCGGTCTGAAAATGAGCGTTTGGAAAATGAAGTTCAAAAGCTTCAGCAGAAACTTAAAGTAATGACTGAACTTTATCAAGAAAATGAAATGAAACTACACAGGTGCTGGTTCCTCTTTTTATATTCAGTGCTTACTGTTTGATTTGAATGTAACTCTTCGATTTGGGGGACTGGAAATTATTAACAGTTTGCTGCTTTCTGGAACTTTCTGAATTGTGGAGACCTGGGTTTGGTACAGCTTCCTGTACACTTGTAAGCACAGTAATTTTACAGAAACTGTTTCCATGAAATAGTGGTATATTATTTTAGGACTTTTCCACAAACAAGTACAGAAACAAAGAAGAAGTAACAAATTTTTAATCCATGATTTAAAATTTCCAAAGTTGGAAAACTTGATTTTTTTTTAAATTAAATTATTATGTGATGTAATACAGCTGACAGAGTTGCCAAAAGAAAATCAGTAGGTGCTTTATGAGGTATGTTTGATCTAGTAAAGAGAGCTAGTACTGTCAGAGGAATGATGATAGATATAAAACTAAACTTAGAGTTAAACCATAGGGAAGCTTTTGCCAGTAATTGGCATAGAACCTGTGAATCAGTCTTTCCTCAGCAAGAAGAGTAGGGTTTGAGGGCTGTACTCTCTGCCTCACAGTCAGGATGATAGTAGGCATTATGACTTAGTGATTGAAATCAGAAGTATGTTAAGGACTAGAAATAAAAGTTGATTGGTCCAGGGCATGTGGTAACCTTCAGAAGTGTGTGTGTGTGTGTTGGGCAGGGTGGGAGCAGGGCACATCATTTTAGGGCATGATGGTAGAATTACAATTTTACTAGCCAGAAATTATTTCTTCAAAGAGCAGATGTGATCTTGAAGGCAGCAAGAGAATCAGCAGAAGGCTAGATCCTGTACTGAGCAGTATGCAGGACCTTTGGAATACTTTCCGTAATCTGTCTGTAGCATATATAATTCTGTAGATACTTGGTATCCTTGTAGGTGCAACAAAACCTAGAAATCCATTGCATTAACATTTGATTTAAGAAAAAAAGGGCAGGGAGGGAGTGCGAAGGAACTTATTAAAAAGAAGACTGTGTGGATGGTATTTAAAAATGCCTCACTAAAGCTTTGCAAATACATACTGCTTATCATAGAGTTTTAGAAAAGCCAAAAAGGAGTGAGGAGAAGCTGTGTGTGGTGAGAGAACAGCACAGAAGAGGCTACTAGTATTAACAATGCATCTTTTGAAAACCTAGGTCTGTTCAAACAAGGGAAATGGAAAAGCAGGAAATGAGGACTGAGTAGAAGAGTTTAAATCATGTTCACCAGCTCCACTATTCAGATAGCTTGATTGCTGAGGAATGTTGTTTGGGGGAAAATGGCCAGTTTATCTGTTCAGGGATGTGTGCAGCAGTAGTATCTCTGTGTGTTCTGTAGAATTACCTTGTGCATAATCTGGGGCCTGGGGTATGGGGTTTATTTTCTGTAGTGCCCAAGAAGTCATAAAAAAAGGGGAGCTGGAGAGAATTATTTTCCTTAATAGCTAATAACAACCTTTCTTTTCCTCCAGAAAATTATTTTTGAAAAGTACCAGAACAAATCACTGACTGTTAGTGTACTTTGGCTTTTAGTTTCTTTGGTTTGATTTGTGGCTGCTTTCAAAATTGTTGACTTGAAACACAATTAACCCTAGTTTTTGAATGTTTTTAAAGGAAACTGACGGTAGAAGAGAGGGAACGTCTACAGAAGGAAGAAAAGCTTTCTAAAGTAGATGAAAAAATTAATCATGCTGCTGAAGAACTAAACAGCTACAGGTAATTGCAGATTGTAGTTGCTGTAATTGCTTGTTCCAAAGTGCAGAAAGAGCAATAGAGAAATAATAAAAACAGCAGCATAGCATAAGCAAATGTATTTTCTTCCAGTTTTTTTGTAGTGTGTGTTACCTGCTAGTCTGTGTGTAATAATACAGACTAAGGTGGTTTTGCTTTGTTAAAACATTTGGGTGTTGAAGATTACTTCTCTTCCATTAGAATGCTAACTGTATTGACTCGTTAGCTTTGATGGTATGCTAGAAGTGGATCTCTAATCTAGTTCTCTTTATTGAACAGAAACAAAAGTGTCAAGAGAATGCTGTGAAATAAACGCAAGGTTCAGTTTTCCCATAGAGCTAACATGCTGTATAGTTACAGTATTCTATTTCTGAGTCTCAAAGCTTGTCAAATAGCACTGTTGCTTAGAAATTCTTTACTAAAATAGTGTGATGGGGGAATATTTTCTGTAGTTGTTTTTTAACTCTTTGCTCTCTTTTGTGTTACACCAACTGTGTACCTCTGGTTTCTTTCTGCATTTTCTCAAACTATGGCATAATTCTTCAATATGTAATGTGTGTTTCACATCTTACTTCAGTGTTCATGGGAGTACTAGCTCTAAGTGAACAGCAGCTCTCAACAGCACTTCTGAAGAGTTAATTAGATTAGCTCTTTCTCTAGAATATAAAGTTCTTGTAGACATTCTTTGGTATTCGTACAGGAAGACAAAATTCACCCTTCTTGATTTACTCAGAACATGACCTTTGTAGGCATCTTAATTTTACAAAGAATATTAATATCGCAAGTGGAGCATAACTAAGCAGTGCATGTGTCTTTGGCCCACCTGCTGTGCACGGGGCAGCTGGAGCAAAGGTGGCATCATACTGTGTGTGGGCTTGAAATGACTTTTAGTGCCAGTGACTGTCCCTCAGGCTCTCCGTGGTAGCCTGTGACAGCATGGAGCTCCAGCTGCTGTGCTGAGCTGGGTGAGGCTGGAGGGTAGGGCACAGCTGGAGAGATACTCTTTATATTGGAAATACCACACACCACTGGAAAGTTAGGGAGATGCTGGATTTTGTCATTCTGTTCTTTTTGTCCTTCTCTGTTTGCACTAATCCAGGAGTTAATTTCCGTTGCTACTCTAATTTTGGATGTATCCCATGGGCCTAAGTGCAGTACTGTCTTTTGGATTGAAAATATCTTAATTAGACCTTGTGATTACCATTGTGTTTACTGTGTTTAAAATTACTTCCCTCCACATTTTATTACAAGATCTTACATCCTTGGTTTGTTCCAGAGAACGAGCAAAGGATCTCGAAGAAGAGCTGGAGAGAACCATTCGTTCTTACGAGAATCAGGTGTGTGCTTCGTGTTACTGCGACTGAAAATCCACTGGCAGTTAGGTTGTGGTATTGTATTTGGCTTGGCTTTGTTGGGTGTTTGTTTTTGCCTCCCCCTCTCCCTTCTTAATGTCATCTGATTTTGCCTGACACAGTTTCATAGCAGAGATCAGCAGATAACTTTATTAAAAAGTTTAAGGTTAGGTGTCCCATTATAAATTATCTACATTGTTCAATTTATGAATAAGAGCATATAAAGCTTAAGTTTTCTTTTTCAGATGAATAATTTATCTCTCTTTCACAGATTACTTCACATGAGAAAAAAGCTCATGATAATTGGGTAAGTTTCAAATACTGAATTTTCTAAGCTTTGTGCATCTTCATTTTCCATGATTTGAATATCTTTGTCACTTTTTTTGTTTCGTACTAAAAACAGATAATCAAATTATCTCTAACCTGTCACCTTTAAACATACAGATTTCTTGCAGAAATACACAAAAACATGTTACAAATACTTCTGTCATATAAAATTGTTAGCAGAATTAAGCTGGATACCTGTGAGCACAGTAGAATGATACTACAGTGTTATTTGCTGTAGCAATAAATCTGCTGGAAGAACATGATACAATGTAACAAGTGTGTGACATTTTGCTAATAATAAAAGCTTTTGGCCTTGTTTCAATGCCATTTTGTTATTTTCCCTGGATGTACTTCACTCCTTTTATCTACTAATAGAAGACATTATGTCCTGTGAGAACAGTGTGTTCCATTGACAGCTTCCTAGCAGTGTTTCTTCAAAATCCATTTTTGCCTTTTTTTTTTTCAAACGGGAAACTGTAAAATATCTCCTGACTAATACATTCTTCAGTTCCACAGAGTGGTCTGTATAAGATAAACTCCTGCCAAAAGCTATGGTCTTTGGGGTGGTAATCTTAGAGTTTTTAACCGTATGATTTTAAAATAAAGTTTTCTCATACAGAATTTGAGACTTTAAATCTTCTGTAAATGCTTCAAAGCAGCTATAGCCAAAGAATTTAATTTCTGCAGTTTTAAGAACATGCAGAAAGCCTTATCATTCCTCAAAAGTTTGGGTTGTAGAGCTACTAATGTCATTTGCTGACATACATGAGGCTCTGTTTTGTGTGCTTCAGTCCATGCAATTCACATAGAATGTCTTGGATCTAGGACCTGTCACATTTATGAAGCATTTAATCAATAAGTAGTAGTGTCTAAGCATCTGATTTCTGTCCTTCCCCAAAGCTGTCAGCCCGAGCAGCCGAAAGACACCTCAACGATATCAAAAAAGAAAATGCACATAGCAGACAAAAGTAAGTGCAGTCCTGATCTAAGTCTAAGGAAATGCAGTTTGGCATGTGAGCATGTTTTTGGATTTATGCAATATGATGTTCTCTAGACCTGTGTTAATGAATTGTGGCCCAAACAGAGCAGAGAGATGACAGGTGTTCCATCAGAGTTCTGAAAGAAAGGAACTCACCGGAGCTTTCTTGGAATTGTGACATGCAAGAAAGTAAGAATTTGGAAACAATGTGAAGTATCGAAATATTTCAGGGAAGAAGCAGGATGTAGTACTAGAACTATTTATTTTTTGTATGGTTGTTCTAAGTATGTGTGTACCAACCAGATGTCAGTGGTTACCTAATGATTTTACAGCTTATCTCAGCAGTTAGTACTGAGCTAGCAGATGAGGTGGTAGTAGTGAGAGGAACCTTTAGGTGTGAAGTTAACACTTGGAATGCAATTAGAGTGATACCATACTAGGAGTTGTGACATCTAACATGCCACCTCAGCTTTTTAATTGCAGTTTAAATAGAGCAGCATAGAGAAATCCTTCCAGGAATTTTTAAATTCAGAGTTCTGTGACATCCTTAGTCTTTTTTATTTTTATTTAGGGGGAAAAAGAATAACATTTAAGTAGAAAGCCTAGCAGCACACAGTGTACTCTGGTAAAGCTCTTGTCATTTACTACTTACTTGTTATTTATTTGCAGATTAACTGAAGCAGAATTTAAACTTGAACTTTTAGAAAAAGATCCTTATGCTCTCGATGTTCCAGTCAGACCATTTGGCAGAGGTACAGTATTGAATTGTAAAGCAGAGCCTGCTTTGGTTTTGTTTTCCAAGACCACACATATGTAACTGTTAGAAAACTATCTTGGCCATGTGCATGTATGAATATCAGTCATGTAAAAAAGTAATTGGCTCAAAAAAGACTCTATGTCAAGTATTTTGTTGAAACTAAGAGCATTTGTAGTATTGTTGAGAGTAGACTGAGAATGTGTTACACATGGTAATTAGAGCACAATTTTCATTTCAGTTTAGTTTTGAACTTCACCTGAGAAGTTAATTACTTTATACAGTTTGCTAAACTAAATGTTGTGAACTTGAGCATTTTGTTTTAACTGTTCCAGAGCATTCCCCATATGGACCCTCACCAATGGGCCGGCCTTCATCTGAAACAAGAGCTTTTCTTTCCCCTCCAACTTTATTGGAGGGTCCTTTAAGGCTTTCACCTATGCTTCCAGGTGGAGGAGGAGGAAGAGGTACAATTCTTAAACTTGAAAATGTATCTATTCTGGATTTCTCTCTCCTCTCCTATAAACCTGTCACACCTTTTCCTCTTTCTGGTGACAAAAAGTTAAAATAACTAATTCAGTATAAACAGTTAATTGGACAAACTCTTCCTGATTTTCAACTTGCTTCTAAAGCTGTTTCAAGTGTAACAGTACAATAGAAGAACTAGTTGTTACTAGTAGGTTGGTCAGTGGATTCACTTTGAAGCATAAATTAAGAAACCTGGAAAGCCAAATTTAATCAGTTGTCTTTTATTTCTTGGACAGACAGTTCTGCTGAAGTAAACAGGATTTTAAAGTAAATGACAGCCGATTAGTTTTCTGGAGAAAGAATGCTTCCACTTCCATCTCACTGGTCTACAGGCAGTGAGAGAATGTGTTGTCAAAATCATGAGGCAGTTTTACTGGAGGTTGTGATACTAAAACGTTCCTGATTCAGTAAATTGTTTCCCTCGCTTTGTTCTAAATTTGAGGCAATCATCATACATGGAGAGCAGTTCTTCCCTAGTCCTAGAAGGGAGCAGGAAGGTTGTGTGTCAGGAGTACAGTTCGGAGATTGAGGAGTAGTGAAAGCAGACTGTGGTGTCATGGGTTGTAAGGGAAGAAAAACACTGTTCATTCATATTTTTGATGTTGATGGAAACAGTGTGAATAAATGCTAGAGTGGAGTTCAGCATTGGTTAAAGGTAATAAGCAACTATTTAATTTAGTGCTACCATTATACCCATTGAAACCTGTACCTAATTTGTGACAAATGTGTCCAAATGCCTCTTCTGTAAGGATTTCACTAATCAATATTGATTTTTAAAAGATCACCATGGACTATATATTTAATTTGTTGTAGAAAGCATATCCAGCTGCATGTGAAAGTTGATTCATTTTCTAAGTCAGCAGAGAGTGAGATTGAATGTTCAGCTGTACCTATACCACACACAAGCAAAATTATACTATTCAATTTGTTTGTACAGAGAGAGGACATAATGAAACTGAGTTGTCAAATGTATCTTGAAATCATGGCTCAGCTGTTGTTGGTGGGGACAAGTAAAAACTGGATTTCAGGATGCAGTATTAGCAAGGCAGGAGGCTGTGCAAGGCCTGACTGCTGCTCATTTCACAATGGAGCACTAATGTAACTTGGGCAGCTTAAACAAATGATGTGTTTAATTCCAGCCACAGAGCAATTATACTGCTCATCACACAGTGGGTTCAAATTTTAGGTTGAATTTTAGCATGGAGACCTAGAGAATGGTACCAGTATTCAGTATTTCTGTCACTTTTCAGACTCAGTCTATTTTAAGGAAGCTTACAATCTAAAATCACTCATTTTTACAGTTTTTCTTGCACTTGTTTATGTGTTGACCTGATTTTCCTTTTTTTTTTTCCTTCCTTGAGTAAGAATTGGAAGGAACCAGAAGAGTGTTGAATGTAATGTGGGTATTTTCTTACAATACCAGTATTAACTCTTGGCGTGCTAATTTGTAGTTTGATTAGCAGCAAGTTTTTATCACTGAGAAGAAGCTTTATCCTGAGGGTACTAGTTTCTGATTCAAATGAACCAAAACTCATAAAATTGTTAGTTTTTTTCAACATCTTGCAGGTCCTCTAGATTGCACTTCTTGCTGAACTGAGACTTTTTCAAACACTTGCAGTAAACATAACTGTTCATCAGCAAACAGCTGAGGAGTCCTGTGGAGCCATGCACCTCATACTTTGACTCTGTTGGCATCCCATGATTTATTTCACTATTTTCAGGCTTAATGAAGAAAGCCATATTGGAGGATTGGAAATACCTGGGCAAATAACTGTCTGATTTCTTCAATTAGGATCCAGAGGGCCAACTGCCATGTATGACACTGGTAGTGAAAGAGGAGAGCTGAGTTCTGATAGATCAGCTGATCCCCACAGGCCACCCTCAGACACTGGATCCCTGTCTCCTCCCTGGGACAGAGAACGCAGGATAATTCTACCTCCACCAGGTATAAAAATCTGCATAGCTACTGTATCCATGGAAAAATTGAGTTACCCACTTGCAGTGTTTATATTTAAGTATTTTTTGCTTACAGTACGAAATATCTTCCTGGACCTGCACATGCAACTGCACTGGAAAGGCTTTTTTAATAGTAGTTTTTTCCACTTTTTGAACAGTGTGTTCCCTTGTACTTATCCTGTGCTGGTTTTGAAGTCCATATTGGTGTTAGCAGTGCACAGTCAACTGTTCACTGTCATCATTTTGCTGGGAGTTTGTTTGGCACACCAAAAGACCTGTCTCTCTCAGTAAGAGAGCTGAGAAGGTAGAAAATGTTAATGCAATTAAATAAATAAATAAAAGCTAGCTAATGTTGGAAAATTTCAAAAAAGTTTTTGTATTAATAGTACAGGAGTTCCATGGTACAGTCATCCCATCTGACATTTTCCTGTTGATACTGCCTCTTGGATGATTGACAGCAACAAAGTCAGTCTCCAATCTCACCTCTTCAGCTAAGCATCTGTATTGCACATCACCACTCAGGGAAGGCAGAGATGAGTCAAAGAGGATTCTACTCATACTTTTCAAGCAAAAACTCAGGGGCACTGACAACATTCCTGTGTGTCTGTAATAAAGAAGTAAAGATGTTACAAGTTTAGAAAACATTAAAATGTAGATGAAGTACACAGATTAAACTACCTCGGTTATTGGATGGATCGAGCAATGTCGTCATTGCCACACATTCGTGTGGAAGCCTGGTGATAGAACTCAAAAGTCTGCTCAGGATGCAGTTTCTCCTTTGCCAGAACTGGTCTGCTGCCAGGATACTGCAGAGGGGTGGTCTTGTTTCGTTGACCTGAGCTGTGTTCTTAGCCCACCTTTGCATTTGGGTCTCACTGGTAGAGTTTGTCTTGTAGCTGCATGATTGATTGCTAGCTCTGATGCCACCAAGTTGGTGGAAAGACATCGCAGCTCTATAAAACATCATGGAAAACAGCATTCTTGCCTAAGAATGGGTTAAAACATACAGTACCTTCTGTCTTTGACCTTCTTTGCTACGCTGAACCTTTGTTTCTAGGCCCCACTGTTTATAACTTAGGCACTCATAACTTCTGCTGTATGTTAAACCAAAAATCAACAAACTTTTTCAGCTCCCTAGAAACATAAGTAATCACACATACTCGATGGGATTCTGGTGTTTGGGTTGTTTAAGATTTGTTTGCTCACCCTGATTAATAGACACTTTGGATATTTACAAGAGCATAAGATATCCAGAGAATGTTGCTGGACTAAAATTGTATGGAATGGGGGGAATAAATCTTCACTGACCTGTTTTGTGATTTTCTTCAATGTTAGGTGACCCTTTTGCTGATCCAGTTCTTCCTCCTCGAAGACAAGAAAGGTTTTTCCCTAATCCTCCTAATACTGGAAGACTTTCTGGACCAGCAGAGCTGCGAACTTACAGTATGCAGCCTTTTGATAAAACAGGTGGGCATTGCTTCTGTGATACTGTCAAATGGAGAATCTGAGTAAGTTGGCTAAGCCAGGGCAAGAGAACAGCTTTACAGCTACCACAGACCTGAAGTTCCATTGTGTAAAAACATTGTAAGACCTGCTAGGCTCCAGGCAGCCTTTCCCTGTCAGCAGCAATAGCCCTCCCTGTTGCCTGGTGGATTCCGTGAATCCTAGCCATGAGGCGTTTTTTTGGTCCACCTTCACTGTTCAGTGTGTTAACCACTCAGGATTGGCTTTGGGTCTGTTTTGGCCTCTCCCATGAGGGTCACCACAGCATTAAAATACCACAAACCTGTACTTGCATTTCCACACCACATTTAGTAAAATCAGAAAGAGAGAGATTTGCTAAGGGTGCAAGAGAAACAGCAAACTTTTCGAGTATCCACTGGACTTTGTACACTGAAGTAGAAGGCCTTGAAGCCTTTTCCTCCAGACTGTTGACCATATTGGCAGGTTTGTGTCGTTCACAGTGCAGTCGTCCCCAACTTAATCACAGCCTTCACTGACCCAAGTACCACTTGTTTTGACTTGGTCCATTACATACATCCTAGTCTGTGACACGTAGCAACAGCCAGAGGCAAAGTTTTGTTGACTGAAACTGTATCACTGAAACAGTTTAAGAGCTTAACACTTATTAAGCATTTTCATCTTTAATGTAATGCCTGGTAAGTCACACGTGTCTGATATGTCAGCGAGGTGCAGCCATTACACTTGCAACAGAAACTTTGCCACCTAGTACTCAGTTACTGGTATGGGTAGTAGTAAGTTACCATCTTTGCTGCATTGTTTCTGGCAATAACTTTCTTTGTTGCTTGGTGTCATAATGTGAGAACTGGGAATGCTGAATTTAGTTTCAGGTTTTGCAGTGAAATGTTCTCTACTGGAAGACAGTTCTGTCCCTGTACAGCTATACCCCTTCCCTCTTTCCCAAGTCTCCTGTGTGTTTCACTTCTGCTTTCTGATACTTTGTGTTCACTGAGGTCTTTCTTCTAGGCCTGCATGCTGACTGAACGACAGGAGTGTGTTGTCTTTGCACTTACTTACTGCATCCACTTTTATCCCTTTCTTCAGTCGCTGCCAAGCAACAATTAATTTATTTTTTTAAATGCTGTATTCAGTTCTTGGGCAATTCAAAACCTCCTTAATGGAAACAGAGTTTTGGATAACCTTTAGTATTTAGCAGGTCATGAAGTATGTGTGAATGTTGCTTTTTAAAGACATACAATTTCACTAGACCTGGGTGAGTGAAAAAAAACAAGAAAGGAAAACCCTTCAATTAAAAAAGCCCAAACAAAGTAATTAGAACTATCCTTCCAGCTCACACCATCTGACTTTAGAGCAGCAATGAGGCTCACAGTTCTGAAATCCAGACTCCAACTCTAAAGAGTGCATGAGTTGCACTTCCTTAGGAAAATGTTCAAAATGTTATTTAAAGTGAATAAAATAATGTACATTTTCCTAAGCTGCAGTGGCAAACTACAAAACTTTAAACTCAAGGAGGTACCTGGTGCAGGAAACTTTGTGTCAGAAAGGTTAAAGCTTGACAGAGTTTCTGAGCAACTTTGCAAGGACTTAAAACAGAAAGTGTTATGCGACCTAAGTATCAAGGCATGAATATTCTCTGTGTGGTGTAAGGAGTTGAAATGGTTCAGATTGTTAAGTAATACCAGCAAAAGCAGGGCCTGCTTGAAATGACAAGTAATTTAGGTTTTTTTAAATACCTGTCTGGCCATTGAGAAAAGCGCTTTGTTTGCTTTCAAGGAGTAGAAATAGAACATGTACATGAAAAATCTGTCACTAGTTAGAAGTATTGTTTTGGTCTTGTGTTCTTTAGTATAATGGTCTTCATTCAGGCAGAAGTGTAAGAAAGGAGTATTTTTCAAAGCTCAGGTTTGGGCTGTTGTTTGGGGTCTTTTTTGTGATTGTGGTGGTTTTTTTGAGAAAGTACATTTAGTGTATATATTTACTATCTTTATATCCAGTCAGGTTCTACTCTCTGACACTTCCCTTCAATAATTTCCTCCAGTTGTTACTGAAAGTACTTGTTCTCAGGGGAGTATAAATGTAAAAACACTGAAGCTGTTATTTATCTCTTCGTTTACAAAGTGAGTACAGCAAATGAGAGGATGATTACTCTTCTTTCTGAAGGCTTGTCCAGAACTGATGTAGTTCTGAAAGTCTCCTTGATGTTTGCCAGCCAAGGAGGGAATCAGATTTTGTCAGACTTGAATAGGATTGCTGTCGAGCTCTGTGCCAGGCGCATATCAAGACACAGCCATTCCCAGAGTGGGACTTACCAAAGAAATAAACTAGGAGTGGGAGGGGTGGGGAAAGTGGAACTGCCACAGTAATGTTAAGCTGTATTGCTTGGAAAAGGCACTTTTAACTTCTAAAAAAACCCCTTGATTGGACACGAGAAACTTTGCTGAAAGCTGCAACTTGTACAGAAGGTGGAAAAAGTACTCAAGCAAAGTCTCTGTGTTCCTCAGCTGTCTTTCATTCTGCCTGCAGAGCAGTTGCTTGGTACAGCAATATTTTTGGTGTTGTTTTTCTTGCCTACATATCCTGAAATCAGTGGTGGAGAGGAGGTCAGCACTGAGTAACTTATCTAACTTTTGCATACAGATGGACAAACATCTTCAGAACATAGTCCACAAACAGAACCAAGTGGAGAGGGGATGAAGGATCATTCTAACCTCAGTGTAAGTAGCTAAAGTGAACTTGATTTAAAGAAGCTTTAATGTTCTGCAAAATATTTAGAGACATTTGTCTCTAGTCCATTGGTCACTTCATGTTGCACTGTGCAGCCCAGATTATAAAATGATATGTATACTTGTGCCACAACACTTGTAAATTAATTTTGATGTGTGATTAATGTAATCCCTGTTGAAAATTAATTATAACCCAAAGATTAAACTATAATCAAGCTGATGATCAGTGCAGATAGAATATGCAGGACGATGCTGCAGCTAAGGCAGAGTTGGAACTGACTCTTAGCTAGTGTTACAGCCTACATCAAAGTGAGCCTGATGGGACTGGAGATGTTCCCTTTCCCTCAGCTAACATCCCTGGTTTCATTGTGTTGCAGAACTCGCTCCCTGATCAGTCACTGCCACTGGAAAGTGAAGCTGTCGGTTCAGGGTTTGCACCCCCACCTTTCCCTCCAGTCAGACCTCCACTGATGCCTGTGGATTCCAGAGCACCACCACTTTTCATGAGACGAGGACCTCCTTTTCCTCCCCCTCCTCCTGCTGGCATGTATGGTCCACGGGAATGCTTTCCAGTACGAGACTTCAGGCACTCTCCACTGCCAAGTACGTGGCTTTTGCCAGCATTTACTTCAAGTTGATGAACATGAGGGCTTTGTGCAGGTGCTCAGTTACCACACTGGGTGAGCACACACAGCTTCATTTGCACACAGTACTACTTAATTCAACTAAGAGAGAACATAATTTCTGCTGAAGGTTCATTGCCTTATACACTTCTTTTTTTACAGCTGCTGATCTTAGTCTTTGTAAAAACATCATCTCTGGCTGGAAAGTACACCTGCATGTACTGTTCAGCATTTAAAGGTTTCTTTTTTGGGGTAGGAAAACAAGTAGCTGGTTACCTTAATCCTTTTACTCCTATGAAGTTGCATCATATATAAATTCTAAAGTTTTGTCCTCTAGCTCTGAGGTTATGCTCGTGTCCACGCAAAGGCTTGTTCAGGACATACCCAAAACAACTGTTTTTCCTTAGAGTTTGCATTAGTTGGAGCAGGATGTAAGTATCAGACTGCAGAGCTTTGTTCTGCCTCCTGCTGTTGTCAGAGTAATCTGTGAAGAACTAAGCCACATAACTTTCCAAAATATCTGTAAGGTGTAACAGGCTAGGGCTGCTGTGCAGACTGAAGGGGATGATGCCCATTAGCAGGCAGTGCCTGGCTGCTGCTGTGAGCCTGGTGCAGGTAACTGCTGAGAAAAGTGGTGTATTTGTTCTCCTCCTTCCTAGCATCTCTGGATCTTAGGAGTATAACATGTGACTCCCTTTTAGGTAGGTCTAGCTGAGCAGTAGGACGTGGGGCAGGAGGAGCAGGTGTGTGCTTACTGTTGTGATTGGTATTAACTGGACTACTCTGATTCTCTCACAGTAAGAAATCCATTTCCAATGAGACCTTATCCTCACTATCCACCTAAACGACCTGGATTTTTGCCTCCACCACCTCCTCCTGAAAATAGAGCTGAACCACCTCAGTCAAATCCATCAGCTGTAGAACAACCAGAACCACAGCAGGAGACTTGACAGTCGTTCAGGGAACATGCTGAACCATTTCTGTGCTCTCCTAATGGCATTTTTCCTTATGTTAAGTAACCATTGTTACTTAGGTATATATAAACTACTTTGCTCAAATTGAAGCTTAATAGAGAAAATTCTCAGGATAGTATTTTGTAAATAAAAGAATGAAATAACTATGAATATTGTGAATAAGTGATTTCCACTGTACAATAGTTATTTTAAATTAAGTATTTCTAACTTGAGTAATCTCTTCAGAGGTGTATAAAATTAAATTGTGAGCTGTATTGTAAAAGTCCATCTGCTTTGTCCTTGTTGAGCTGTACAGGGAAGCTCTCTGCATGCCAAAAGTGATGCTTGCTGCTTTAGGAATAGGATGTGAAAACAAATGGAAACAGTTAATAAAAGTCTATGGAACATGAAAGCAATGTCACTGTTAACATGGTGTAATAGAAGTAGTTGAAGCTAAGAAGAATCACCATCATTCTCCACTACACTCCACTCTACCTGCAAAGTCATTAACAGAGTCATCTTTCAGCTGTCAAAGCCTTACAAAGTGGCAGTTGTCCTACCAAGACAGTGGGAGGGAAGGGGAAGTGGAAATGCTGAGCAGGTCACCCATCACCCTTCAAAAGCTACTGAAGATGTGTACATGAGGCTTTTATGACCTGGGAGGAAGGAATCATAGCTATGAGATGCTTCAGCTCCACCAGACAGACCCTTGCCTTTGAAGATGCATGTCTGCAGCAAACTAATATTGGGGTGGTTTTTGTTGTCTCAACATGACCTCAGTTTATTAGGCTTCAGATTTTTAACAGCAGCATTTGGGAAGCCAGGCAGGACAAAAGCAGAATTAAAAAGTACAAGAAGTGGCTGACTGCAGCATTAGTTGGTTTGTGCCTGTGAAGCACTTGGTGTGTTGTCCCACTCACCTCTTCCCGTGAGGTTAGCACTTGCTGCTTCCCTTGCAGCACTGCCTGTGGCAGCAGGCACAGTGCACTTACCTGCAGCCAGTGCTGTGCTGCACCTGGAGAGAGCTGAGCTCCATTTTTACTGACTGCTGTGCAGTCTAAAAGCTTCTGCTAGCAGTGCTGGCTGGCTGACAGTTTGGCCTCAACTTGAGGACCGTGTGATGACTCGATGCAGTCATTGGTAAGGGACCCTTTAAGACACAGAGAAGGAAGCTGTTTTTAGCCAGCCCCACTCACAGCAGTGAGCAGCTCAACCACCAGTCCCCATCCTCTGCCTGCACACACACAATACACAGTTTCAGCCTTTAATATAAATGCAGCCACCACACCCCATAATTAGAAGTTACCAAAAAAACCTCCAGCCCACTTTTTTTTTTTTAATTGCTTAGGTCGAGTCTGCCAAGGGAGCCTTTTCTTTTGCAGCTCAGCACTCCTGCTCCTACCATTATTCCCACATTGGCTTCCTTCAGCCGCAGAGCTTTTCCACAGCTCATTCCTGCAATTTTTTTATTCTGCTTCTAGTTTAGGTCTCACAGGTATTTAGATAAGCCTTTGTACTCAAGCAGGTGAATGACAAATTCTGAAGGCAATATTTTAAAGCATTGTCCATGTTAAATTAACTATTTAGTTTAATTTAGCCATTGCATCAGTTTTAGACAATTAGTTGTTGCTCTAGGTTTGCCTGAAAGACTTCACCAGGATCCTAAAAGGAATTACTTGGTTTTACCCATAGAGCCAGAGCTGTTAACTACAGCCTTGCCCCTGCACAGAGAACCAGTGGATAGCACAGAGATCCTGGGTTGGTAACTACGGAAACACATTTTCATTGTTTCCCCAACTCACCTTAGGTGCTGCAAAAACTGCCTAGGACTGTACCTTAGGTTTTCTCAGCAAACAGTATTTTCTTTGTGTGGGTTAAATATTTGTTCTAGCTTGTAACTAAGTTAACTCTGAAAATACAATTCTCACTCCGCTAAAGCAATCTACTCTATGCCCACAACAATACTGGGAACTGCAGCCAAAACAAGGGAGCTGGACTGAGATATGCAGGACAAGCATCGGTTAGATCATCCTGCAAGAGATAATGGCATCATTTCAGACTTCTCCCCCACTGTAATAGCAGAATTTTATTTGCAGACAAGCAATTTGAAGACAAGCTCAGGTTTAGGCAGTAGGAAGCAGGTAGGCAGTAACCTGTAAGATGTAGTTAGGTATGTTTAAGGAAGAAGGGTCACACAAAGCAGATGTGGGGCAGTCCCTGTTTCCTCAACCTCCTCCCCCCACCCCCTGCAAACAACAATCCAGTTTTAATAGCTGAGGGCTTGTGTTCCAAGTTCCTGCAGCTAAACCTAGAATGCAGAAGACTAACGTGACATTGCTGTCTCTTTAGGAAAAACAACAGTAAAATCCCATTTGAGATTATGCAAACTCAAAATTAATTCCACACCGTTTGTAAGGTCCCACTCCAAATGCAAGTGCACTTTCCACATTAGGACCATCTTATCTTCCTGAAATTTGGTTTCAGATCGCTTCAGCTCAAATCCCTTCATCCTGGTATCACTAAAACAGATTACTGCTGAAAATACACATGCACAACAAACACAACTTTTTTCTAAGACAAAAGAACAATCAGGTGCATTTCTCCAACACCGCTTGTGGTGTGGCTTTCACCACACTCCTGCCTTACTGGACTCCCTATGCTTGTCAGGATTCTAGTCATCTGTTCAAAGCACATTGACTTTGTCCTTGGAGCACAAGCCAAATCCAGTGAGTGAACTGTACGAAAAAAATCTGACCTGGAGCACCAACAGTGGACACCCATTGGTACAGCTGATACTGAACATTCTGACTGTAACTGCAGCAAGCAAAAGGACTGCACACCTCTCTACCATCATCACATGCTTCTCCTGCTCCCTGTCGTATCTTTCAAGTTTGAGTTAATTAAAACAAAGCAGAAAACAGGTTAGGCTCAACAGAGGAACAACACATTTATGTAAGAGACAGGCAAGCAGGTTACTTCCCGACTCCCTTAAGGCAGTTACCCATAAAAGGCAGTGGCTTGCAGAGATAAAATTACCATCCTGCAAGTCTGTTTAAACCAGAGGACACAGCATTTCCCTCAGGAAGTCACACAGAAAAAGCAAGAAACCTTGAACCCTTTATGACCAAACTTCAGATGCTGCAGAGCAATCACTGTCAGATTTAACTGATACATAAACCTCCCTCCTGAGGCCAAGGCCTGAAAGGCACTGAGACCAACTCCCCTTATTTCACTTGACTGGAACATGAAAAGCTCTCGCTGCATTTACCATGTCTTTATTACCCAGAACATCTCTTCAGTATGTTGGTAAATGACCTTGCTTACCAAATCTGGCAGATCTAGGCGACTGCCCGCGCAGCACACAGTGCCATTCGCACACTTGGCAGCAGTTTGGGCTATTGTAAGATGAAGTTCAGAAGCTCAAATGAAGTCCGTGCTTGGCACGCACACACTGACAGCCACTCTGACAAGCCTCCCAGCACAGTCAGCCACTGCAGGGCACAGCAGCTCTTCCACAGCTGCCCAGACATCTGCAGCCTTCATTCAGAATGCACAGCTGCGACTCTGGGTACAGATAAAACGTCAAACCGAAGCATTGCAGGTATTCATAATCTATTTAATAGTGGGACACCAAAGAAGTACTACACATTTTTCTTGAGCACATTAGATTTTGATTTAAGCAATTGCAACGGATGCAGTAATTTCTCAAAAATAGTTGTCTATATTCTACAATCCACAGTTTACTGTATCAGTCTAATAGATCATATAATGATATAGTTTGTACTAACTGGTCTGATAGTCTGATCTTTAGCAAAGCATCCTTCCCCTTCCTCCACCCCCCGAAAATGTTGACAAATTTCAGCCAAATTAAAAAAAAAATTACTGTGACTTATTTTAGATTCTTCTGTTGACCTAAACACAATGGGAGCTACCAGTTACACACAGCTTATGAAGAATGTTGCATTTTAGTCCTAAAAATTGTCATGCTGATACAATAAAATATTTTATACAGCAATCAATTTTTAATGCTTTATTCATCAATTAAAAGAATATACATTTAACATAAACCATACAACATCAGTCATCAATTCAAACATTCAGCTGGTTTCCTTACATTTTCTGTCAGGAGTTTTTTTTTATCTGATCACATTTATAAGATAAAATCTCACCACATCTGGCATATACACACACTGTGCCAGTGGATTCACTCTACTGATGTACATATAAAATCCGCATGGTATGTGCTCACTGGAGACAAAACAGCGCACACCTGTCAAAAGGTCATTTTAATATAAGATGGTAAAACCATTTGTAAAACACATATAAACTTTTTCCATAAATAGAATCATATCTGGACATCTGTTGCATAAATTGTGTTTTCCAAAGCTTACAATATAGCAGCCAGGTCTCAGCACTGCTGGGCACCCACGTTGGCCACTTACTTTATTATTGCAGACTGTCCTTTAAACATTAAATGCACAACATTCGTACCACTTAAAACTGGGGTCAGGTGGAAGTCTCACAGAGACCACGTCTGTACCGCGGTTGCCCTGAAACAGTTAAATCGGCTTTTAAAGCCTCTCAGATATAACAAGATTTTAAAACATACTTCATGGAATGTTCTTCATGCATCATAGCAGCTCATACCTGTGATAGAACAAGCTTTGTATTTGATTCCTTTCCTTCCTTTACATTCACTATTCACAGTGAAACAGGTGCATGTTTGTTAAGAGTTCTGAGGTTGCTGACTGAGCCACAGCACAGCTGTGTACCACAGGTCGAAATTCGACCTTATATATTACAATCTAGCAGTATCTGGCTGGCCAGAAGTTGGCCTGCCCCTGCCAGCATGTGGGCACTTCTTCGTTTTAATCTATTCTTTGGCAGCTGACACAGGCGCTGACAGAGAAAATCCAGTGACTCGGTTGTTAGGGATTTCACGACTAATGTTTGTTTGCAGGTGTATACCTTTGTATTCAAGTCTTCACTGTTATGTTTCTACCTCATCGGAGTGCACATTCTTGCTTTTTCCTTTTAAACTTTGGCCCAAAGCTAACTTTTAAGGAATATGACAGAACAGGAGAACAAACGAGGATGAGTTTGCAAAGTATACAAAAGGCTACAGCGCGTGGAGCGAGTCTGTAGGTGCAGGTACCTGGAAGC